AAAGACAAGCTGCTTGGAAGTGATCAGTGACAGAAAGACTGAAGTTCTGATGTTTTAGTTCTAATCAATGTCTCTCATGCAGTAAATCCTACCTGAATGCAGTGCTTCTGAAAGCACTGACAACTTGTAAGGTATTCCCAAAGTGTAGTTTGTCACATCACCCCCAAATGAGAGAATACTTGACTGACCAGCTTCCAAGAGAAATTAAGTTGCTACTTATGACAGATAAATTTCCTGTTGGTCTGACTAAGGGGCTTTCAAGTTATCCCAACCAACTAAGCAAATCTATCCTAAGCATCTCTAATCACAGACATGCTCAATAGGAGCATCCTTAGAAAAAACAAGTAGAAAAGGAGGGTACTCTGTGTCAAGGAATTGTTCTTCCCTACTTTTATCCTGTTACAGACTAAATTTGGTTCCTTCCTTGTGATTTTTCCCAAAGCCAACTTCATGGAAGAAGGTTGGAGAATGCTGACAGATGATGAAGTGCCATAGCTCAGAAGGTGGGTGGCTTAGTGGGTCTTAAAGAGCATTGTGAGGCCAGTGATCTTAACGCTGATTAACTTACTCGTATTTATTATATAATTAATTATGTGTAAAGCCATCAAGAGTTGACTTAATTATTTTGTATTTGAATAAAAAATAAGCATAATACTGCTCCTAAACTAGCACAATTCTGCCCTGAATCACCACCACAAATGCAATTAAACCTATTCAACTTGGGAGTGCTAATTGTCTCCCCTCTGGTGTGAGTGTTTAGTCTCCTACAGTGCTGTGATTTTACTGATTTTTCTAGTGTGAGAAACAATACCCACTTCTGTGATATAAAAAGTATATTAAAACTATTACTATCAACTTTTGCTTCATTTTGTTCACCTCACTCTGCACACACAGGAGAAAAAAGGAGAAAGTCTCCCTGCCTGGACTCCTATTGTTTGTGCTTGTGCTAATTGTATCCTTTGCACAGATCTTCATGTTGTGTTCATTCCCTTAAATATGTATCAAATATAATTTCTACTTCCAATTGCATTTTGATGTTCCTCTACACTCAGTTCCTTCAACCTTCAGACACTCACCTGTTTTCTCAAATTCAACCCTCAGATTAGAAGGTCTGTGGATTGTTTTTCTGGAGTTGTTGTATTTTCTTTGCTTTAAGTGATGGCTCCAGAGTGGTCACTGGTAAAGCATAAATAAAAGAGTGTTGAAATAGGAAGGTGCTTAAATTTGGGGTTGTGTGCTTTAGGCTGGTGCAGACTGGCTCAAGCAGCCACGAAGTTGAGAGTTTCTGAACACAGTCCTGACTTAACGAGGTTTCAGAAATGTTTTCCAACACTGAAGCCATCAAAGAAAAAGTATCCACTCTTGGAAGACAAAATGATGTTGCTACAGAAAAACAAACCACCTTTCTTTGCTTTCCTTCCTCCAGATGTACTTCACACGTGTTGCAGAGGAACTTTGGAAGTACCTCAGTTCCAGGAGCCCTTTTAATGTCAGAGCACCAGCTTTGGTTTTGCAGGTAAGTTTTGTGTATTTCCACCTTTTTATTTACATTTCCACGTAGAACAAAGACTCCTTCAGTGATTTACTGACTCTTATATCCACTGATGAGAAGATGCCATGGAAGCATCCAGTGAAACCATGGTGTCACTTGCAGACAGTGACAAGCAGTGGATTTCTACATCCCACTGAACGAGGAAGTGTCAAAGCAGCCTCCCAGACACAACAACATGTCACTAAATTCTTCATAAAAGCTATTTAAGTGAATTGTGATAAACAGCATGTGCACACTGCCAGGACATCAGCCACTTGAAGACGCAGGAGATCCTTGAGTTATACGAAGTCTCAGGAATTGGTGATGAGTTTTCTCTGCTTCTGCACTTCAGGTAATGCTTCAAACACGTGGACTTTCCTTTCTACCATTGTAAGGCTGAACTCGAGCGTGTCACTGAACCAGAAAGGGTTTGAAAGCTCAGGATGGAAGGATTACACTTTACTTCATCCTCCAAGTGCCCGTGTCTTTCTGAAGTATCAAAAACCATCGTTCCCTTTCACTTCTGAAGGGTTTTTTACTGTGCTATTAGAACTCGGCTTCGATTGTTGAAGAGGTCTTGAGCAGATAGGTCTTCCACAAGGAAGAATTACATGTGGGGTCTTGTCCTGATCCAGATGTTCCTGCTCTAAAAAGTGAAGTCCAGTGTCTCTGCACAGGTGTGTGTGAGCACGTGTGCACAGGGCCCACAGGAACATGATACACACGCCTTTTGGGTGCTGCCTTGGCTTCAGGAAATTAATCCAAAAAATGGAGAATTTGGATTTCTGAGATTGGCAGTGTGTAAATCACACATGTCCTCTGACGCCCCTCCGGATTCCCTGACCAATCCCATCACACTCCAGGGCACATTTGGCAATGGGTGTCACTCACCCAACACCTCCTTCCCTCCCTCAGGCTGAGCCCGGCCTGGGGCCTCCCCGGTACAGCCCCGGCCCTCCCGTGATGGGTCAGGCTGGAAGGGCCCACAGAGGGTCACCTGGTCCCACGTCCTGCTCCAGCAGGGCCATCCCAGAGCACGTGGCACAGGATTGTGTCCAGATGGTTCTGGAACATCTCCAGTGAAGAGACTCCACACCCTCTCTGGTCTCTGTTCAGTGCTCGGTCACTGCACAGGGAAGAAATTCTTCCTCCTGTCCAGGTGGAACTTCCTGGGCATCAGTTCCT